GAACACCAAAATATTTTCAGTAGAGACAAAAAATATTAACGATTGTAAATGATTAGATGACAGATTAACTTTTCAGTAGAAGACTTTCCAAGCAACTGAATTTAAATTCAACTTCTACAACAAATATTTTTACATCTGTTAAATAATTTCTTTCCAAACATTATAATCCTCTCAACGTTAAAGATTAATTTATATGTCATTTTGCTGACGATGTATACTTTGTACATGCCACTCGTTCAACCAAATTAAGCTCTACTGTACGCTTCCGAAACACTAGAAACTCGGGATGACCGCATACCAATCGAATCTGGAGCAAGTGATCGTGTCAATGCTGCCATTTGCATATTTGCCTCTCGGAGGCTTGCACAACTTGCCGACAATGCTTTTTGGCTGCCAACAACAGCAAATGCTGATCCAAGATGACTTCTACAAAATGTCAGAAGCAATACCTCAACATCCACTTGATCACAACAACCAAATTCTGCACCGTACTGTTGCCTATAATTATAATAAGATTGTTAAAACTATTGCGCAACAAAAGAAGTAATATCAGTTCCCTGGCTCTATAATATAGACGGCTATAACAAAAAAAAAGACACAAGAGGTTATTTTTTCTAATTGTTTTTGAAAAGTCCAAATAGGTGCTTTTACTAAGACAAAAGTGAGTAAAAGAAAGAAAGAGACAGAAGAAAATTTGTAATAAAAGGTGTAAATATTCAATAATAAACTATACCACTCTGTAACACTAACTTTTATTTCATATGACGCTTCCGAAAAACAAAAAAAAAATTGAAAATGGTAGGTTTATTAAACTAATTAGGTGAGCAACAACAAGATCTAATCAGTTCTACTACATTAGCAAACCATGTGAAATGACCAAAAGGTAGAAAAATTTATCTAAAAAACAATAACGTTTCAGATTGGCTCCCTGATGACCAGACCAACAAAAAACTTCCTCTCGATCTTATCTTCGTCACCAAAGGTGGGAAAATACATAAAAACACGCTTCAAAAAAAAGACATAAGAAAAAATTTGTCGCCTATAAACTACACATGTATCTAATCATTTATAAACAGATACATTTCATTATATTACTGCACAGGCGTAAAGTGAATCTGCAAACTCCAGTTCCTACCTTAACTGCCGCAAAGTATGAAGAGCACTTCTGTAATGTTTTTTGTGCAACAGATCAAGTAGTGGTTCACTAGACGGTTCAAGATTTATTCCCAATGTCGAGTCTGAACTATGTACAGAGTCCGGAACACTTGCCAGCAAGCATCGATGAAGACACAGAACTTCCGATGATATATCAGCATCCTGTAAATTTGCAAACAGTTTCTAAAAAATTAACCAATGGCTGATTCCACGCTAATAAAAATGCAGTTTTGGCAACCTTTTCTTGTAGCACTGTGCATTTTAAATTCTATAGTTCAAAAAACCTCAAATTTGAAAATTCAATGCTTCAATTAACATGCAACCTTCAGATGACCTTTGTGAAAAAATTTTTAAAAAACTGCAATAACACAGTAAATGGATGCTAATTCTTCTTCCCAAGCGATCAGACCAGTTGTGAAATTAGATGTTCAAACAAAAAACTTTCATATCATTTAAACAGCAAGAAAAATTCTAATAAGAAAAAGTCAATATTGCTTAATCTTCAGGTAAAATATGAGACAATGTAATATGATTGAGCTTTGGCAGTTTTACAATCGTCTTTAACGAGTAACTGGCGTGCAATAGCCTATATTTGTGTGTGTATATGTGTACCGCCGGTCAAACTCTCTTTTTTACTTTCACCTTCTAAATTGCTTTGCACAAATTGCAACGCAATGTGATCCACTGTAATTACCTCATTTAGGCAGCGGCAAATTAAGAAGCACCATGTAATCACCGCGAATCTGTCAAAAAAAGACCAGATGCACTTGGTTTAAAAAATGGTAAAACCTTAAGCTGTAGCAAAAAAACAGCAAAAAAGGAAACCATAGTGCTTTGACTAATCTTCTATGATTACACAAAAAGAAGGCAGTAATCCAAAAAAAAAAAAAAAAAAAAAAAAAAAAAAAAAA